TTCTTGTTAGCGGGCATTTGAGTCAGCCGCTTTACAATTACAAAGGAGCTGCAGGCTCACGTTTTTGACATTGAAGGAGAGGGGAAAGGTTGGGGAGGAGTACTGGGGATAGATTAAAATGTGCGCGTTATACTATTTTCTGGCACTGCCGCTTCCTTTTTAGGTTTGAATGAGCATTGGTCTTTCTAAGATCAGGTGAAGTTTTACCTTCAGTATTGCTCAATGATCTTGGTTATGCCTTCACACGATACAAGATCCAAGTAAGCGTTTTATGCGATACAGCAAGATTGGATGCGTCCTTCAAAAATAAAATGGGCTGTAGATTGAATCACGGGGCCCTTTACAATCGGTAAAGCTTAGTATAACGTAGCCCGTCAGCGGGCTTATCTGGAAATATATCGATGAAAACCAGTAAAGTTCATTTCTAATTTATACTCTTTCGTACCCAGCCGAAATGTCGGCCCCGGTTGATGAGTACTGTGTGGTTACCCCACTTAAAATAGTTTCTTCGTAAATTTTACTTCTAGTGACAAAATAACTGTGCATCAAATGCTGCCTGAGTTTGTTGGTGCTTCTAAAACCGCGCAGCTTCACTGTATTGGATATAATGTATACCGTGATGAAGAATTGGGAAGGTAGAATTCTTACAGCTCATCTGCGCTATGCCATATTTGAACCTAAACATATTTTTTATCTTTGCTATAGGGGTTAAAGTGACATTCTTTCTTGTATAGGTTGATATATAACTACAATGTTAGCTGGACGGACAAGACGGACGAAAGCTTTCAAGCTTGGGATCACCTCGTTAGGAAGTTAATAAAGTCCAATAAAGGTAAGCTTTTACCGGGTATTACACTACTTGCCTTCAAAACCTACTAATGCCGAAGTTTTATGGATTGCAAAACTCTTAAGGCTAAGAAAAGCCTTATCATCCCTTTGAAGATAGCCTCTTCTACCTGCATTTCTTCAAGATCAATCTTTATAGTTGCAATCAAAATACCCATTCACTGTGATGGCCCATGTGGCCGGCTTACCGAAGATTACGTACAGTTTGGTCTATGTGAACACACAGTTTGTCGTGATTGCTATGAGAATGCAAGAAGCGCTGATCACGAAGGTGAAGCGTTTGGTTTCACCCTTCTGGATATGTTTAGTAGAGCAACTGTTTCAGGTTTGCACGGTTGCTGTAATGCTGACTGCTTGAAATTATGGCAGCGAGAGGAACGTCGTAAAACCAGGTTTACTTCAGATTTTGCAATGTTTTACTTATAACATTATACTTTTAAACTGCAGAATAGCTAGGAAGGAAGAGCAAGCCAGGGCAAAAAGAGTGAGAAGTGATGTATGTAAGCAGTCTGCTACAGTAGCAGGAAGTGTTATACCGAACTCATAGGTTTCCTATCGCATGAAATATGACGATGAGAATTTCGAACAAATGATGGAAAGATTGCGCAAATCCCAGAAATCGCCGAATGTCTCTACGACAAGCACAAACATTACGTAAGTAACTCTAACTCAAAGTTATACCAGAGAAAACTCAATTTTACAGATCATCTTATGACACGATGTATTCGCAAGAATAATTGTCTATGAGAGTGATACATAATTTGTAGAAGGAATAGCTTAGCTAATGCAATGACTATATCTTCTATGAGTTATTAAAACATTTCAAAGTCAGAATTTTGATTCAGCTAGATTCTTATAAAAACTATGGCACTGTTCTCCTTATATGAATAAAGTTTATAGTATTTGACGAATCTTGTCTGGTATGCGAAATATTTAGCAAATTCTCACAAAATAAAGGTATGCAAAACTAGGAAGCTACTCACCTACATAGCATGCCACTCATTCAGATTATTGAGAGTCACTTCCAAATCATTCAGACCTTGATGTTTTTTGTACAATTCTCCTTCAAGTTCAGTCCATGAGTTTAAAATGCTAATTGCTAACAACAGAGCATGGAAACTTTGCTAAAGCTAAAGGAGGCGAACCCTGAAGTTGCATGGAGAATTTGCTAAGACTAGAGCGAACTTGGAGCTGCTCACGGAAAAAGAGCAATAGCTTCAGCTAGAGTAGTATCGCTTAGAGTTGCTTACGGAAGAAGAGAAGCTAAAGCTAAGGCGAAGTTGCTTGAAGTTGTATGGAGAATTTGCTAAGACAGAGCGAATTTGGAGCTGCTCA